AAGCGCGACAGTGTCGCGGCAGGGGAAGCGCGACAGTGTCGCGGCAGGGGAAGCGCGACAGTGTCGCGGCAGGGGAAGCGCGACAGTGTCGCGGCGAGGGAAGCGCGACAGTGTCGCGGCAGGCGAAGCGCGACAGTGTCGCGGCAGGCGAAGCGCGACAGTGTCGCGGCAGGGGAAGCACGACAGTGTCGCGGCAGGGGAAGCGCGACAGTGTCGCGGCGAGGGAAGCGCGACAGTGTCGCGGCGAGGGAAGCGCGACAGTGTCGCGGCGAGGGAAGCGCGACAGTGTCGCGGCAGGGAAGCGCGACAGTGTCGCGGCAGGGGAAGCGCGACAGTGTCGCGGCAGGGGAAGCGCGACAGTGTCGCGGCAGGGGAAGCGCGACAGTGTCGCGGCAGGGGAAGCGCGACAGTGTCGCGGCAGGGGAAGCGCGACAGTGTCGCGGCAGGCGAAGCGCGACAGTGTCGCGGCGAGGGAAGCGCGACAGTGTCGCGGCAGGGGAAGCGCGACAGTGTCGCGGCAGGCGAAGCGCGACAGTGTCGCGGCAGGGGAAGCGCGACAGTGTCGCGGCAGGGGAAGCGCGACAGTGTCGCGGCAGGCGAAGCGCGACAGTGTCGCGGCGAGGGAAGCGCGACAGTGTCGCGGCGAGGGAAGCGCGACAGTGTCGCGGCGAGGGAAGCGCGACAGTTTCGCGGCGAGGGAAGCGCGACAGTGTCGCGGCAGGGAAGCGCGACAGTGTCGCGGCAGGGGAAGCAAGACAGTGTCGCGGCAGGGAAGCGCGACAGTGTCGGGCAGGGGAAGCGCGACAGTGTCGCCGCAGGGGAAGCGCGACAGTGTCGCGGCAGGCGAAGCGCGACAGTGTCGCGGCGAGGGAAGCGCGACAGTGTCGCGGCAGGGGAAGCGCGACAGTGTCGCGGCAGGCGAAGCGCGACAGTGTCGCGGCGAGGGAAGCGCGACAGTGTCGCGGCGAGGGAAGCGCGACAGTGTCGCTGCGAGGGAAGCGCGACAGTGTCGCGGCGAGGGAAGCGCGACAGTGTCGCGGCAGGGGAAGCGCGACAGTGTCGCGGCAGGGGAAGCGCGACAGTGTCGCGGCAGGGGAAGCGCGACAGTGTCGCGGCAGGGGAAGCGCGACAGTGTCGCGGCAGGGGAAGCGCGACAGTGTCGCGGCAGGGGAAGCGCGACAGTGCCGCGGCAGGCGAAGCGCGACAGTGTCGCGGCGAGGGAAGCGCGACAGTGTCGCGGCAGGGGAAGCGCGACAGTGTCGCGGCAGGCGAAGCGCGACAGTGTCGCGGCAGGGGAAGCGCGACAGTGTCGCGGCAGGGGAAGCGCGACAGTGTCGCGGCAGGCGAAGCGCGACATGGTCGCGGCGAGGGAAGCGCGACAGTGTCGCGGCGAGGGAAGCGCGACAGTGTCGCGGCGAGGGAAGCGCGACAGTGTCGCGGCGAGGGAAGCGCGACAGTGTCGCGGCAGGGGAAGCGCGACAGTGTCGCGGCAGGGGAAGCGCGACAGTGTCGCGGCAGGGAAGCGCGACAGTGTCGCCGCAGGGGAAGCGCGACAGTGTCGCGGCAGGCGAAGCGCGACAGTGTCGCGGCAGGCGAAGCGCGACAGTGTCGCGGCGAGGGAAGCGCGACAGTGTCGCGGCGAGGGAAGCGCGACAGTGTCGCGGCGAGGGAAGCGCGACAGTGTCGCGGCAGGGAAGCGCGACAGTGTCGCGGCAGGGGAAGCGCGACAGTGTCGCCGCAGGGGAAGCGCGACAGTGTCGCGGCAGGCGAAGCGCGACAGTGTCGCGGCAGGGGAAGCGCGACAGTGTCGCGGCAGGGGAAGCACGACAGTGTCGCGGCAGGGGAAGCGCGACAGTGTCGCGGCGAGGGAAGCGCAACAAGGTCGCGGCAGGGAAAGCGCGACAGTGTCGCGGCAGGGGAAGCGCGACAGTGTCGCGGCAGGGGAAGCGCGACAGTGTCGCGGCGAGGGAAGCGCGACAGTGTCGCGGCAGGGGAAGCGCGACAGTGTCGCGGCAGGGGAAGCGCGACAGTGTCGCGGCAGGGGAAGCGCGACAGTGTCGCGGCAGGCGAAGCGCGACAGTGTCGCGGCGAGGGAAGCGCGACAGTGTCGCGGCGAGGGAAGCGCGACAGTGTCGCGGCGAGGGAAGCGCGACAGTGTCGCGGCGAGGGAAGCGCGACAGTGTCGCGGCAGGGGAAGCGCGACAGTGTCGCGGCAGGGGAAGCGCGACAGTGTCGCGGCAGGGAAGCGCGACAGTGTCGCAGCAGGGGAAGCGCGACAGTGTCGCGGCAGGCGAAGCGCGACAGTGTCGCGGCAGGCGAAGCGCGACAGTGTCGCGGCGAGGGAAGCGCGACAGTGTCGCGGCAGGGGAAGCGCGACAGTGTCGCGGCGAGGGAAGCGCGACAGTGTCGCGGCAGGGGAAGCGCGACAGTGTCGCGGCAGGCGAAGCGCGACAGTGTCGCGGCGAGGGAAGCGCGACAGTGTCGCGGCAGGGGAGGCGCGACATTGTCGCGGCAGGGGAAGCGCGACAGTGTCGCGGCAGGCGAAGCGCGACAGTGTCGCGGCGAGGGAAGCGCGACAGTGTCGCGGCGAGGGAAGCGCGACAGTGTCGCGGCGAGGGAAGCGCGACAGTGTCGCGGCAGGCGAAGCGCGACAGTGTCGCGGCAGTGTCGCAGCAGGGGAAGCGCGTTCTGCTAAAGTGATGGCGAATCTCTGCCAAATGGAATCCCAGCTTAGGCTGCCTGGATTCGGATTCATAACTGGGTCCGTCCAATCCAGTGCCTTTTTGCTCCTCCCCGCTGCCGTCGCCTTGGCCAACTCTAATCAGAGGGGAGGGGGAGGGGGCGGGGAGAGGGCGCGTGACCAGAGAGAAGTTTGATTACTCCGGGGCGGCCACTACACCGTCTATGCGGCGCAGCATCCAGCACAGCAAAAAAATGGACTCTAACACTCTCGTCGCCATACATGCATGCGTTTTTACCGTGTGGTTAGCTCGGGAGTCTTCAATCTCACACTGCGGTAGCTGCAGCGTTTGCCAGTGAGTCACAGAGAAGCACTCCCGTCTTTTATTGAGGAGTGCCGTGGCCGTGGCGTGGCCGCGGACGGCTGCCTCCGAACACAGCCACTCTGTCTCTCTCGCACTCGCGGGGCATCCCGTAGGGGTGCGAGAGAGACAGACGGACGCAGCCTGCCGGCCCGGGCAGTGACTGATGGCTGACCTAAAACCCAGCGGCAGCTCCAAGTATTATGCGTCCGATTTGAGGGGGCAGGGCGGGCAGGGCGGCAGGCAGGTGGAGGGGCTCGCGTTCGGCTTCTGCAATTAGCCTTGCCCCATTAGGTTAATCTTTTCGGGTCAAACTTTCACCCGGCGCCCTTTGCACAGCGTCACACCGAGTACCACTCAGAAATAGATCCCTGCCGTGCAGACTGTGGGCATGCCGCAATCGGGCGGCCCATCACTGGGCGGCGTGGGTTGAGCAAGCCGATGCAGAACCAGAGCACCTTTGTGTGGACAGACGAACCCAGCCCCGGGTCACGCAACTCCTCCCCCACCCCCTGGTGCCCCTTGGCGCCCCTGGAGTGCGGCCAACGACGCGGCGCCACGCGAACCGCGTCGCTCTGTCTCTCTCGCACCTTAACGGAACGCCCCGTGAGTGCGAGAGAGACAGAGCGACGAAAACGACTTTAGCCACGCCTCCGCGCCAACGAGTTGCCACACCAGTGCGGCGGCGCGGCTTCGACGAGGCGGCAAATTGTTTCAAGTTTTCGCCGTTTTTGTTGAATCTTCTGCTGGAATTTCCGGCCGGCCGTTTATCAACACACGGCCGGCTGACACAGACGGATCGCGCAGTCCCCGCATGCTGGCGAATTAATTAAACTCGTAACAGTCTTCTTTGCTCTGCGGCGCTCTGCGGCGCTCTGCGGCGCAGGCTGTGTGCGGCTGTGCTGGGCTGTGCGGCCAGCGGCTGGTGATGCATTGCCGCCACCCGGTCCGTCCCATCCCAGTGCGTGGCACTGCGTGCCGAATGCCTCCAGTGGGCGCGGCTGTGGGCTCAGTTGTGGGTGTGCGCACTGTTGGAAATGGTTTTGAAAACCCTGAGGGTCGCTTGAGGATCAAGAGCGTGGGAATTCGTGCCAGAGGACTGACATCTGGGACGGCGTAGTTGGACGTAGCCTTGGCCAAAAAGTGCGTTTGACGATCCTTCAACGTGCACAGAGACCCTCTAGTCGCAGCTTGAGGGGCTGGCCCCTTTAATGCGTTTAAGCACACCTCTTGGCGGTGCCGTGGCGCGGTTCGCCTTGCCATTAATAAAGCAAAGCGGGGCGGGGCGTTCGAGGCGCTCAAAGCCTCCAGCCTCTTTCTAATCAGTGCAGCGGCAAAAGTGGGGCGGTGCGGAGGTATCGCCTTCCCGAGATAGAAAGAAAGATGAATTCGAAACTGTCGGTTGCCACGCCGAGGCCGAGACTGAAGCCCGTGCTGGGTCTGAAGGCCGATTGGGAAGGGCTTTCAAGCTTTCAGCTAATGGACCACAGCCCACAGCCCGACCCCCAACGGCGAGCGGCCTCGCTCCGAACAAGGTCGCTCTGTCTCTCTCGCCGCCGCGGGCCGCCACACGCGTGCGAGAGAGACGGCGAGACGAAAACACCTTCCGGACGCTGCCGGCAGGCCTGGTATCACGGTCCATCGGCCCGCCGGCGGGCTTGGTTACAGCCCGACTCTTCACAGATTAGACCAATTTGACCGAGGACACCGCAGAGATTGCCTTTATTTAACAAGCTGGTGGCCCGCTGAAATTCAACCGCCAGGCACAGCGTTTGTCATTGTAGCGCTGATTGGTTCAACTCCAACGAGAAGGCGAAAAAGGAAACGAAACAAAGCAGATCGGAGTATCACGCGTTCCCTTTCCTTGCTCTGTTTGCGCACGTTTGTGTGTGTGCGCGACCGGCCAACACACCCCGCTCGCTTAAATTAATTCGTTTTTATTCTCTCTCGCATTCGCAGGATTGGCGGGCCACATGGACCCGGGCTTGTTCGAGGCCGGTAACTGCACCGCCTGGAACTTCGACGCCGGAACCAACTCACCGTATAATTGTTCTTTCCGGAACTTCACCGGCGCTGAAGGTGAGCAAGTTTTCATTTCCGGGTTGTGGGCAGTGGATATCTTCAGGTGCACTGCTGAAACAATCTCCTTAAAAAGTACCCAACGAATTTTGGAAAGGTGTTTGGAAAATTCCATCCAGGACAGTACCCTTGACCTTTTTGGTCTTCGAGTTTATGGCCCTAATCAATGGCTTCAACCTTAGACCAAAATTAAGTGACAATATTCTGAAGTTTCTAACAGAGCGGAAAGGGCGCATTCATTTTTACCGCAGACCTTTTGTGACTTTTCAAATTATTTTAGCAGCGTCGAGAGCAAGCAAATTGGGATCTCCCCCTGCCTAACAGCCCTGCCAGTCGTTCGCCCCCTCCCCTCCCCCCCCCCTCGCTGATAGCCAGACCGCGCTCGAGACACGGAGGGACTTCTACGCCCCCAACCTGGTCTGGAGAGCCTGCGGGCGTTCGCGCTGTGACAAAAATATGCACGCCGTTACAACGGAAAGGTTGGCCGCTGCAGGTGAAAAATGAGTCTCCTTAACGGCGCGGCGTTTTTCACCGCCTTTCCGCGCGACAGGTGGAAGGGGGGGGGAGCGTTACGTCCTCAGATGGGACCATGGCATGTGACCTGAAGCAACATCCATCCTCATACGGGGGCCTCAAGTATAGACACGTCAGTGTGGCACAGCTGCCACGGCAACTCTGCCTCCATACCCCCCCTCCAAAAAAAGACTGATATGAGCTTTTATTTTGATGTAACTTTTTTTTTAGGTCATTGGGCCTGCCCCCCTCTCACTCGCGCTGCCGCCAATTTGACACTAATAGGCTGCTGCTTTTCCCCGTCCAAACGAGAGTGGCACGGCGACGAAACGGGAAACCCCAGCCGGGCGAGCCTCTTTTGGCTGATCGTTACTATTGCGCAATAAGGCGGACGAGCTCCGGGAGGCGTCAAAGCACTTCAAGGCGCAGTCTTTTGTTTGTCGAGTGCTCGCGCTCCAAGCACGCATGGCAGGGACTGAAGCAAAAAACGGCTTTATCGGGCCCCGCTTTGGCCTCCTTCGCCATGAGGGGACTTTTTTTTGCAATCGCCTCGATTTTATAGCTAGCCAGTTTTAAACTCCGTAGTGCAATTGATAAAAACCTGACCTGGTAAACAGGTACTATGATATTTTGGTGGTGGGAAGTAACTTGTTATTGCCCGGGAGACCTCAAATCCTCGCTCACGGCGCGCCTAGAGGCCTTTGTTTTAGAGTGCGCTGCCCGCAGCGCGCGCTGGAGTGCTGCAGAGTGCCACAGCGCGTCGCCAAGGATCGTGTTCATTAAGGCAGGCCATCATTATGGCTGCAGCGTCGCCTCGTTGCCGTGGCAGCAGCCTGCAGCCCGGCCTGCAGCCTGCTAGGGCACCGGTAAAGCCGGTAATGAGCTGCAAGGAAGCGAGGATGGATTGTCCTTTCCTTGTCCACGTCACCCTGGTACGCATTGAGGTAGCGATCTATGCCACACTGCGCCCCTCTGACCATTGCGTGCGTTGACGGGCGCGGCCCGCGGCAGAAGCCCCCATTTCGCTCCCCTTCCTTCTCCCGCTGCAACGCTTCCCAGGACGCAGGAATGCCGAAAGCGTATTTATCTTCCGTTACCAGAAAGAACGCGGTGGTGCGACAGCGCGGCAGGAGGACATATCATGCCACCGTTTCGGATAATGAGCCAGGCGGCGCATTTTCCTCTTGGAGTGCTCGTTAGTGGGCCCCGGCGCACCAAAGGACTTGACGCGATTTTCCCCGAAGAAATGCTTGAGTAGCTTTCCGATTGCGCTTGTCGCGAAAGCTAACGAGGTCTTGGCCTTCCAGAGGAGGAGCTCTACGACGTGCCCGTCGGCGTCATCGTGCTGCTCTCCGTCTTCTACGGCACCATCTCGGCCGTGGCCGTGGTGGGCAACTCCATCGTCATCTGGATCGTGGCCACCAGCCGCAGCATGCAGAACGTCACCAACTACTACATCGCCAACCTGGCGCTGGCGGACATCGTCATCGGCCTCTTCGCCATCCCGTTCCAGGTAAGCAGCTCTGTCGTTCATAGGGCGTTCCGTGTAGGAACGAGAGAGACACAGCCACGAAAGCGACTATCGGAATCAGTTTGCAGGTCAAGAACAATGACACTGTCAGGGACCGTAGTTCGACTCGCCCCTGCTCCTTCTCCAGCCCCTCCTGCAGGCCCCCCTTTTTCCGCCTACGGCGCCGCCATCCAATTCTCGCTGCTTATTGCGAAGGACTGCCGGCACAAAATAAGCTGCGTTTTATTTCTGATGGTGTGCTGGACGTGCCGGCTAGGCCGTCGGGCTGCCAGTCCGGCTTACAGCCCCACCCCTCCCCCTCCCACGCGGGGGGCGCGGCTGGCCGGTGGCACCCCCTAGCGCCGCTGGATTTCGGGACGTTTTAAGAACCACCACTGTAAAAAGTTGGCAATGAAACCTTGTGGGGGAAACTTGGTGCGCGCCTTGCAGTGGCGCGGGGCTGGCCCGGGCTGGCTGGCTCGGGGACTGGCAGAAAATGAGGCGGCACCGTTTTTTGTTCCATTTTCGCGAGCCAACGCGTCGCCCCGGGTCCCGTTGTGCGCCGAGGCTAACTGCTCTGTGTTCATCTACAGCCACCGCCTGCGGCCTGATTTTTTCAGTGACGCCAGACGGTCAATTCAGTGGGCGTGCCGTTTCATTCCGTTGTACTTGAGCACGGCGATGTGAGAAGCGAAATCGGTTTGTGAACGCCCCGCGTCCGTAGTGCTCCGCGTGTTCGGCGCGTAGAGCAGTGAGGTTTGTAAAACGTCATGCCGGAGGAATCTCCACCCGTATCACCGGGGCTGATCTCTCTCCTTCCTTCTCCCTCCTCTCCCCTCCCCGCCGCTCGTCACCGTCACGATGCCAAATCACGCCCATCCCGACACAGTCTGGCCCGCCCTGCCCTCCGGCCCCGGAAATGTCATAATGTCAACTCCAGTAATTGAATCTCGGCATTTTTTCCCTCAGTCTGCGCTCGTCGGCAGCGCGTCTCGCTGCGGGCTGATCCCGATCCCGATCGCTGCTTGTCTCTCTCGCACTCACTTCCTCGCAGACACTGTTCGGTCGGCCAGGCGGCACTGTGTCTCACTTTTTTCCATCCCCCCGAACGGGACGCACTCCGCGTTCGCCTCTCTCCGCACCAAATCATCCCTCCCGGGATCCCGCCCCGCAGCGCCGTGACGTCACTGCGACGCCACGGCCTCGGAGAGAGCTCTCAGCGATGTGGCGTCGGAGAGTCGCCGCGGACGTGCGCGCCGAGTCGCACTGTCTTCCCTCGCTGTTTCGTTCGCGTCGCGTCGAGACGACAAAATCACGGTGCCCTACACCGTAGGCTCTGACTCCGAACAGTGCGTTTCGTTCGCTGTCTCTCTCGCACCCACTGGGCGAGACCGTCACGACAGTGTACTGACCAGGCGCACCAGGTCGAAGAGGTCTCGCGGCAATGAAACGATTTGCCACACCACCCCTGAAAAGGTCAGACAAAACGACTTGCAAACCTTTTTTCCAGTTTTCGTCAGAGTCCGCAACATGACTCTCCGAACATGACCGCTGCGCGGCCCAGGCCGAGGCTCCGGCCATCAGCGTCACAATGTGACACGAGTAGCTGGGAAGTGCGAGACGGTGGTGGCCCACCGAGCTGCATTCCGGAGTCTCTGTCTCTCTCGCACGCGCACGGGCCGCCGCGAGAGTGCGACCGAGACGGACAGCGACGGAACGGTGTCCTGGAGGCGGTTCGGTGGGGTGGCGAGGTTGAATGCTTTCTGTCGACGTCACGGTGACGCCAGTCCTAGTGCACTACACTGGGCGACGGCGTTCGCGCCCTGTTTTTGTTTCACTACCCGAGGGAAAGGGAGGGGTGGGGGGTCGGCTACCGGTTCACCCTAAATTGAAGGCCGGAAAGCGGCAGCCGCGCCGCAAAGAGACGAGAGAACGAGACACTCCTCTGGGAACTCCCCCCCCCCCCCCCGGCCGGTCGGCAGGTTAGAGTCGGCTGTTGCCTCGGCCCGACACAAAAGGCATATGGGTGCATATGCGCCGCAATTATCAGTGGTTCGTCCCACCACGCCCCGCCCCGCCCCGCCACACCAAGCCTCGCCACGCTCCGTATGGCTCACGTCGCACCGCTGCGCCCCGCCCCTGAGGCCATGTCTCTTTTGTCCGCAGTTCCAGGCCGCCCTGCTCCAGCGCTGGATCCTGCCCAACTTCATGTGCCCGTTCTGCCCGTTCGTGCAGGTGCTGACCGTCACCGTCAGCGTGTTCACGCTCACGGCCATCGCCATCGACCGCCACCGCGCCATCCTCAACCCCCTCAGGTGAGCCACTGCATTGTTCACGCTCTCGTCCGTCACTGAAAGACAACAAACAACAACAACAACAAAACGTCAATGCGTGCGAGAGTTTTAACTAAGCTGGAGTTTTCAAAGGCTGACTCGAGGAAAAAACTACAGTTTAAAAAAATCTCATTCAACGAACGTTAATGAAAGCAGATGATACTCGTTTGGTTTTCTTATACGGGGTAGTACGCGGGATCATTCCAAAGATAGTATTTAAAATTGTGTATGAAACAAAATACACAGACCCGAGTGAGCTGCTGAGCGATTCCGAAGAGTCGTTTCGTCGCTCTGTCTCTCTCGCACTCATGGGGCACTCCGTAAGGGTGCGAGAGAGACAGAGCGACAAAGCGATCTTCTGAATCACTCGGCTGGCCGGTGTTGGTACTAGCCGTGCCGAGCTGTGGCTTGCACCGCACGCCGCCGAGCCCCAGCGAGCGCCCCAGGCCGGGCCGAATCGGGAGGCATTGTTGCGCGATACTCCGCGTCGTGGCAGGCGGGGAGGGATTGTCAATGCGAGGAGGAGGTGCCATTGTTGACGCCCGGTGCCGCTGGCGCTGTACCGCGGAGGGATTGTCGAATTCCGCGCAGGCTGCGCCTCATTGCCAGCCAGCCAGCCAGCCACACGCACCAGCCCGCCCCGGCCGCCAGCCCCTAATATTGTTAGGATACGCGCTTGGTTTCTGGACTCGAGAGTAAAAGCACGCTGACACCTTCATTTGTGTATAGTAGTTTTAAGTATGTTTCAAGTGTGAAGGTATCATCTGCTAAAAAGTAAAATGAAGTTTTTTCTTCTTTTACCTTTTTGGGGGCCATTTAGCCCTGCGAATGAATCCCGGCGCCGGCCCGGTTTTCAGATTGAGTGCCTCGGCGGACTGCCGGCGGCTCGGCAGACCGGCGCCAGCCACCCGAATCTGTTGACCATCCCTCACTCAGTTGGGTCGGCCTGATAAGTTTACGGCCTCAAGGACCAGCAGCAGCAGCCGAGGGCTGAGCCGCCGCCGCTCTGCTGCCGCCCCCCACTCCGCCCCCCACTCCCCCCACTCCACTCCACTCTCTCTCCCGCGCAGATACCGCCAATCCCAGGAGAGTCTCTTCTCAGGCCCGGTCGGTATGCGTCCCGCTTTGCGCGCCGTCTTGCGTGCTGAAGCACTCCCACGGCATTGCGCTGAGGGAGTAGGGGGCGGGGGAGGGTGGCGGCGCCAGGGGCGCTGGGGACACCGTCGGCCGCATTGCCTTGCATCGGGGATGCATTTCTCGGAGTCAGGGCTCCAGAAGATTCAAACTCAAGAACCAAAAACTGTACCTAGAAGTCGAGGGGCAAAAACTCGCGCAATCATGTGTACACGGCCCCCGAAATCACACGCGAATCATTGAGAATCACGCGAAATCAAGCAATCCGAAATCAGCCAAAATCACTAAAATCGACCGAAATTAGGCAGAATCACACGAAACCAGGCCAAATCAGTCCGAAATCATTTCTTTCCGAACACAATCACACGCAATCACGCTCAACATCACCCTGGTGCGTCGCGAAATAAGGCAAAATCAGCCATGAAATCAATTAAAACCATGCGCAATCATTGCGTTTTCCGAATCATGTGTACACGAAAATCCCGAGTTTTTGCCCCCTCGCTAGAAGTATTCTTTCAAGATTTTGCCGAAATTAATCCGAATACTGGGTCGCGTGCGGGCACGGTAACGCGCTGTGGCATTGAACCCGATTGAACCACTGTGAAATTCGCTGGATTTTGGATGTCGAGAGAGTGGCGGGGCGCGTCTTCCGAACAGTGCAGTACCCGTGTCACCGGTGTCACACCTCAGCCGAGACTCGGCCCCGGCTCCATCCGGGCGAAAAAGGACGGCAGAGCTCGGGGACAGACCGCACGGCCGCAGGGCCTGACCTTCCCCCACCCCACCTCCACCTCGAGGAGGAGCGGACTGATGGAAGCCTGCGCGCATATCGGACCACCCGCGGCGGGCGCCACTTGTGCGAATAGCCCCCTCTAGCATCCCCCCCCCCCCACACACCGACCGCAGCTACGCCGCCGCCCGGAGATGTACACTGGGCCGAGCGGGCAACAGCTGTTCGCGCATGACTACAGTGGCGGGCCGCGCGGGCCGCGGTGGAGGCATATGGCCCATTTCTGCTTGGCTACGAGTTGAGGGCGGGCTGGCTGCCCGGCTGGCTGCCCGGCTGGCTGCCCGGCTGGCTGCCCGGCTGGCCGCTGGCGGGGCTGGCAGGGCTGGCAGGCCGGCGGCGCTGGCGAAGGCGATGTTTGTGTCAGTGTTATGGCGAGGAATAACGAGAAACACAGTTTTATGACGAGGTCGGCACGTTCTCATCGTTGCTCGCCGCGTTCCGTTCCGCGCCACTCGCCGAATTCCCTTCGACGCAAAAAGGCATCGCGGCAACGCACAACGCACGTGTCGGAAGTTGAGAGCAAGGAGAGGGCGAGGCTAACAGTTGCCTCTGCCGCCAAACTGTTTCCACACCAGCAACGACGCCAGACGGGGGCGGTTGGTTGGTCGGGCTGGACCCGTAACGGGCTCGCTGGCTTGCTCGCTCCACAAATGACCCCACTTCGGCCGTGCACTAAACTAGGCATCTCTCTGGGGCCGTCCACGTCACCGGCACGCCGCGGCAGTGTGTGTGACCCCACTGGAGGGGCCGCCCCCGCCCCCACCCCCACCCCCAGGGAGCGGAGCGCCGTGGATCCCTCTGCAGACTCCACTTACCAGTAGTGTGTACCCAGTAGTGAGTCACCACTGGCAGGCACCACCTTCGCAGCTTTTAAACAGGGGTGACGACGAACCACTGCCTACAAGGACCTGCCGTGACTGCTGCGAAAAATCGTTTTGCAGTGCATCAGCAGAAGCTGAGCCGGGCGCGGAACGTTTTCTTGGCCAATTGGTGAACCTTGATGAATTTTACAAAGTAGGGTTCTTATTGGTGGATCCGCTTTCCTAACGGTGTAGGAGCACCGACCCAACCGGAAAAGACGTCGCACACGAAAAAAAAGGGGGGGCAGCGGGATCGCTGTTTACAGTGCAAGCACAGCAATTCCGAGGCGGGGCCGCACACACGCTGCAGCGAGAAACAGAGAAGAGCAAATAAGGGAGGGTGGGGCACCTAGTGACACTTTTTGGATTTTGGCACTCACTCCGATACTGTGCGAGAAATGAATCTGCTTACACCTCAGAAGGTTGCTTTGATCCTTCCTTGATCGCAAAAAGATGTTGTGGCGTTTTGACAACACCTATTTCTATTATTTACATAGCTTCCCGCAGACCTCTGCACTTGTCACTTGGTGCCCCAGCCCGGGGCACCTAGTGACAGGTCATATAACTCACGTTACCAGCATAGAGCGACGCTCCAGCTAATTGAAAATTATCTGTTTTAGACTCTTTAAGCTTTTTAAATATCAAACCATTCTGAACGGCGCCATTTTTTTCCAAGAAACTGCATTTTACTACATTGCCAATCAAATTGAATGTTCTACGAAATTGTCGTACAAATTAGTCTCATTCATGTTTCGTTGTGTGACAATCGGTGACAATTTACTTCGTGGTTGCCAAATCGATGTTTTGAAACGTTTAAATCGTTGAAATACGGTAAACAGAGTGTGTCTGTCACTACCTGCCCCGGGGGCTCATTTCCGTTCAAAATTTGATATTAAAGAAATGAAATCAGATGTTTGAGCTGGTTCAGCGAAAACAACTTACTAAAGGTCCTTATTATTGATTAAAAGTGCCAGAACGATCGGCAGAGCCGTGTACTGGAAGAATGGCGAGAAAACATTTTGTAAAAAAAAGTCGTAAAATCTGTGATTTTGAGTAACTATTTTTTTGCTTTTATTCTAGGGGCTAACATATTTTGTTCAAAGTCTCACTTTCACTTGAACATGATTCCACAGCACAAGACCTTTAGATAAGCCACCTCAAGGTGTCTGAAAGTGCCATAGGGTGGCCAGGGCACCCCTGTGTCACTAGGTGCCCCTGCCCCTGTCACTAGGTGCCCCATCCTCCCTTACGAAAACAAAGTTTCGGGCATATTGAAAATGGTTCAGGTCGTAGTCGCCCGAAACGATTCTATTTTCCTTTTCTTTTTTTCCACGAGTGTGGCAAGTGGCGGCTTTTCCAGCGAAAGAGCAGTCATACCCGGGGCCGTGACACGCACACCTCACCTGTGCAAACGCCGCTCCCTCACACGAACCGGCTATAAACGCCGCTTTCGTCGCCCTGTCTCTCCCGCACGCAACGGGGTGCCATGTGCGTGCGAGAGAGACAGCGCGCTGCTTCGGAGGCAGGCCGCTGCTCGCGTTTAGACCCGGCAAACACGCTGTAATTTCCGCGTCAGGCTGAAGGTGAGGTTTAAGAATGGAAGTCTGAGGACAGCGCCAGAGGGCACGCGGGGAACGCGCTGCCAAGCTAGGCCGCCATAGGCCGCCGGGCCCGACCGCGGAGGCCTCACAGCGCATTTCAGGGCGACCGCGGAGGGGAGGGGAGGGGGAAGGAAGGGAGTGGAGGGGGGAGCACTTCCGTCTTGTGTGCGGGCTTTATTTCATTTCCGCTGCCTCCGCGCGCCGCGCCCCCTGCCGGCCAATCCGATCACTTCCATGGCATCGCGCTGCGACCCGACTTTTATTATTTACGGTCCGCGGGTCCACGGCGAGCCCAGGCCGGCAGCCCCGCCAGCCCCGCCAGGGAGGCAGCAATATCTCCGATCGACGAAAGACGATGGCGTGTTTTATCGGGGTATTAAGGGGCGCCCTGAAGCCTCCCAGAGGGAGTAGGCCAGCACTATAGGTCGTCTGACGGTCAACTCTTGACTTTGTGCGAGGGAGAAAAAAATTGAAGGGTTACTATGTCAGCCTCCATATTATATTTCTTATCGTGCATTCATCTCGAGACAAGCTCTTCAGGCTCAACTCTGTGGTTGATAGTCAGGCTATTCCCCCTGCTGCTCGCCCGTCGCGTTT